CAGCTCTGATTTCAGTAAGCTGGCCTTCATTTACCAGCCTTGTTTCACTCAGGGCTACTATTTGGATGTGATACCTGCTGAGTTTTCTTGTACCAAATGATGTTTGTCTTTCAGGTCTACTAGATTTTGTCTTGTCTTTAAGCATGTGCACATTCCATATACCAATGGTGAGTACCAAGTGTTTGTATATTTTTTGGTGTTTGGACTGAAAGGTGGGTTCCTTTCCTCTTGTGGCAAGCAAGTCAGAGTTGGATGAAAGAGACAATTTTTAGGACACCTTTTCTAGCCCCTTCCTCACACCAGAAAGTGAGCAGTGTAATCCTTTAAAAAATCTGCTCAGACATTTAGGTGGGTTCTGAATCCCATTGCTGTTTCCAGTGAGAAGACAACCTTATGGCCTGGGCTGCCTATGTGCACGGTTGTGACTACAGCTCCCATTGTATGCACACCTGCTGCTTTATCACTTGCCTGTCACCACAGGACTTTGAAGTTGGTAAAAGCGGTATGGGTGATATCTTTTGATTCTCAAGAAGTTGTTAGCCTCACTCTACTTCCAAAGTCATCGGCAAGACAAAAGTCAAGATGACTGGCAATGGCCTGCAATGCAGTAGATGACCTTGGAGTCTTCAATGTCTAGTCAAGCTCTAAGTGCTCCACAGAACCTTCATAGTTCTTGGAAGAAATTGTTTTCATCTTCCCATTCCACCAGAGGAAGTCTTCATATGCTTGGGGTAGACACTCCCCTAACTCACTAATGGGTTTGAGATCCCTCAGTTGCCCTCAACCTGGTTTAGTTTGCCTGCCTAAGCAGTTTAGTGGGGTGTGACTGGGGCACATGCTACAGCTTCTTGGAGTCACAGGTGAGACTTGGGTGAATCAGGTGGACGCCAAAGGTGGAAAACAGCCCTGAAAAGTGTTTAGCAGACTTCAGACTAGAGGCTGGGAGTGGTTTATGCACATGTTGAAGGTATTCTTGATGAAAACATAAGGAGGGAACAGAGAGACTTGCACAGTCATTTTTTGACTAGAGAAGATATCTTTGCAACCAAACATATTGGATGGGTAACTCTGATTTTTTATTTATTATATTATTATATTATTTATTTATTTTTTATTTAAGCTCTCTGATCATCAGTTCCTCATCTGCAAAATTAGGAAGTTGGACTAGACAACCTTTGTGGTGCCTTTCAGCTCAAAATCTATGATCCTATGACTACTTGGGGAGGGTAGGATAGTGGTAATTGCAGCAGAGAGAAGGGAATGCTGTTCATTGTTTATTTCATTTCTGTTTTCTCTGCCAAGAGGAATGATCTTAGGACTGAAAAAGACACAGTAAAATGGTTAGCAGGTAGTTGATACTCAAGATTAGTATGGAAAGAGATAGTAAAATGTATTTAGATGACCAAGACTCTTGGCCACAAACTAGACTACCACTTGCTGACAAAACAAGCAAACCAACCTGCTGGATGTTATTACTGATTCACCACCAGTTATCTTTGAAGGATCATGGAGAATAGGGGAGGTCTAGGACTAGAACATAGTGAATATTCTAGATTTAAAAAAAATAAAGAGGACGAAGCCCGCAAACTGTAAGCCAGTCAATTCCAATCCTGTAGATTATGGAGCATGTGGAGAGAAGATTTTGTTGTTTAGTTGTTTCAGTTGTGTCCAACTCTTTGGGACCCCATTTGGAGTTTTCTGGGCAAAGATATTGTAATGGTTTGCCATTTTCTTCTCTAGATCATTTTACAGGTGAGGAAAAGGAGGCAAACAGAGTTAAGTGACTTGTCCAGGGTCACACAGCAAGTAAGTATTTAAAGCCAAATTTGAATTCAGGTCATCCTGACACCAGGGCTGGCACTCTCTCCACTGCACCATCTAGCTGCCCCTGCAGAGATCATCAGTGAATTAGAAAAGAAAGCAGTGTGACTTCATAAGGAATAAGTCATGTCAGACTATCCTTATTGCTTTTCTTTGGAGGGGTTTAGCAAACTGGTAGATTAGTACTATAGATTCAGTTCACCTAGATTTCAACAAAGCACTTAACAAAGTATTTCATTCTATTCTTGAGGCAAGATGGAGAGATTAGTACAGTTCTTGGCATATAGTAGGCACTTAATAAGTGTTTATTGATTGATTGAGATGGTCTACAGAATAATACACAATTTCACTTAAGTTAAATGACAGGGTATGAGTTGTCAGGAACTGTATTTCTCAAAGGGAAGATTGTAAAGAAGGAAGTGGTATTACTCCCTCTGAAAAAATGTAGAGTAGCTAATGATTTCTTCTGTTTAAAAGGCAATAAAGACTATAGGGAAGTGGAATCTCCCCGCCATCAGGGGAAGGTATTAGTTGAGCTGCATATTAGTGTTTCAGAAAGGAATTAAACTGAGTGAGAAAGGGGGAAAATAAGGAGTAAAATGAGAAAGTTCTGAAAGCAAAGGTTTTTAAAAATGAAATTGATATTTTAAAAAAAGATAGTTTTGAATGGCCATCAGGAAATTATTATTAATTGTGTAATGAGTCTGATTCTATTCATTACATGGTAGGGTGGACTATTTCTATAGCACATAGATGATGTTATATTAACTGTTCCTGATACATGCAGCCAGACCCTCCTCCGTCAATGGCGTGGAAGCCAACCTTCAGAATGATTGCCAAGTCCCTAATCTTTCCTGTTCTGACTCAAGTCTCAGGAGAGCTGAGGAACTCAGTGGGAGGGTTCAAATGGTTTTTATTTTTTCAGTTTTTTTGGGAAATCTTAAAATATATTTTAATAAAAGAAATTTCAACAGTCTCAGACAGATTAAGTACACATGTGCTGCTTATATTTTCTGAAACCATGGAAATATATTGGGTGGGTGTGAGTGTGGGGGGTGCTTAATGACTGAGACAGAGTTTGGAATAGATTATTGTCCGAGGTCCTTTAAAGCTCTACAATTCTAGAATTCTGTAATTATATATGTTTGTTAGTGTCCTCTCTGTCCTCAATTATCTTGTATTTATTTACCTGTATACATTGTAAACTCCAGAAGAATAGAAGAGCCTTGAGGGCAGGACTTGGATTTTGCTTCATTTTGTTCTTGTCTTTGTGTCCCAAGCACCTCACACAATGCTTTGAACAAGCAATCCTTACTGAGTCAAATTGAATTGGATTTGGCAAGGGTAATGACCAGTAGTGGGTAATGGATACCCAAGCTTCTGAGTATCCATATAGTCTAGACACCCTGATAGAGAGTAAGTTATCTGCTTGAAATGCATTCATGCTTTACCTCTGCTTCTTAGAATTTTTTTTCTTAAAGGTTCCTACACGAGGCCTTTCTTACTCCCCATCCCCCAGTGCTAATGACTCCCCACAAAAATTACCATGTATTTTATTTTGTATATGCTTATGTGTGTACATCTTGTCTTCCCTATAGGATGTGAGCTTCTTGAGAACAAGAACTATTTCATTTATGGTTTTGTGAGCCTGGATGATTGGTATAGTTTCCTCAGTGGAAATAATAGTAAGAAAGATTCATTACCATCTGCTTTGCTGCTAGACTTCCAGGACCATAGGGCCTTTCTAAGAGATGCAGCTCCTATAAGTGTTGCCTCCCCTATCAGAATGAGCTCCTTGAGAGTAGAGATTATCTTACTTTGCTATTTGTATCTTTAGTGCTTGGAACAATGCTTTGCACATAATAGGAATTTAATACATGCTTTTTCATTCATTCATTTTTTTTGTTCATTTATTCAAGGCTCTGCTATGGTGTGCCAAACTAGAAAGATTTCACATACTAGTCACGTGACAGGCTCTGTCATAATGTGACAGCCCTCACATAAGGGCTAATTTACAGAAATTCAGAAACTCTATAGCAGAATGTCAACCAGCAGATAGTAAATTTGTTCTGGCCACAGAAACTTGAAAAGTACCATTTGTTAAGCTTTGGAAGGGCTATAATCTGCAGTGGAGGGAGTACCCACATCAAAGATTTCGTAGATCTTTTGAAGTTTTAAAGTCTGAGTGATGATGTGTAAAACAGCTGTTTGTCACCATGTAGTGATGTTATTGTATCTCATTCATAGTCTTGTCCATGTGGCCTTGAAGGTGGGTGTTTTGAAGGTGGACCCAGGAACCATGTATGAATGTTGATATTGTCACTTATTTAGTGGGCTTTGCTGTATTCTTCAGCAGCTTTTAACATGGGCTTTGAAGTAGCATTTAAAATAAAGAAAACAAAATTCACCAGTTTTCTTAGAAGTGCTGTATGTGCTGTAAATCATAATAATCATAGAAACTGACATTCATCATTTCTGAAAGCATTAACTCTTCTAGGTACTGTACAATATTTAAGTAACCACAATGAAATATGGTTTTGGACCCCTGAGAGCTTACTATTCAAGAGAGACAATTACAATATCTTATCAGAGCCATTTAGAAATGAATTGAACAAATATACATATTGAAGTCAAGAAGCCAATTCAGTAAAGAAGCCTTGTTTTTTTTTTTATAGTTAACAGCATGCACAGTGTAATGAGTACTTAGAATTTCAGTGGCATGGGCATTCCTTCCACTGATTAAGACCCCTCTATATAATGGACCATTTCATGACTGACATGTATTTGTTGCCCAGTTCATATTTTATGCCTTTCCAACTTGATAAGACTCACCAAAATTTGTGTTCTGTTGGCAGAGCCTTTGAGAACCCAACATCACCCCCTTCCTCATGGTGAGGTAGCTGCACAGGACTTTAAGGGTCATGTATGAAAATATGAGTATTAACAACTACCATCAAGAAGAGAGTCCCAACAAAGATATTTAAAGGCATGCACCAAGGTGCACATTAGAGGGAAAATATGTAGATAGATACCCACAGATATGTATATGTACACCACTCTATGTCTAACATTCATCATCTATCAATCAATCAATCAATCATTTATATCTATCATCCATCAATCAACCATCTAACATCTATCTATTGTCTATCCTAACTACCATCTATCAATTAATCAGAAGTCTCTATGGAAGCATGTATACCAAAATTAGGATGATACAGAGAAAATTGGCATGGCCACTGAGCAAGGATGACATGTAAATTTATGAAGCATCCCATATATGAAAAATGCTTATTAATTGAAAAATATCATCTATCTATCTATCTATTCTAGCATACTAGTTTCTGTAAAGTCTGTTGTCTGTAAAACATTGGGGCAATGTCATTGTATGTACATAACACTTGGTAGAGGTAAGGAAATTGGGTTTTGGGGAATCCTTGGAGAGATGGATGAGAAGGACAGACTAGAGAAGGGGATGAAGGATATTATTTCAGATTCTAGATGGAGAGTTGAGACCTAAAGAAAATCTGTCTTGAAATAGAAGGCAAGTTTTATTTTGAATGTTCATTTTCTTTGCTAACTTAATTCTGTAGACTGGTTCTTTATCTAAAGGTTGGGTCTTTTTTTTGCCTCCCCCCCTTCCTTCCCCCTTGTGAGTTAAAGGCTTTGTTAGGAAACATCACCTTTCCAGCACCAGATAAGTGGCAAGAGCATCAGGGCTGGTGTTAGATGACCTGGGTACAAATCTAAGCTCTTTTACTTATTCTCTGGATGTCCTTGGTCAAGTAATTTTCTCTGGGTCTTAGCTACCTCAATTATAAAATGAAGGAGTTAGATTCAATCAGGGATTCTTATCCTGCTGTCCATAAACTTGATTATTAATAAATATTTTTGATAACTGTATTTCAATATAATTGTTTTCCTTTGTAATCCTATGCATTTTTCATGCTTCTGAAAAGGTCCACAGGTTTCATCAAACAGCAAAAAGGGCTCATAATACATAAAAAGATTGATATACCTTAGATAATCTCTAAAGTCCTTTCTAGTTCTAAATCTTATGATCTATTCACCCCACCAATTCTTATTACAAAGGGACAGAAAGGTTGCCAGTTAATTGCATTATATTGTAACCATCAAAGTTTTGGTGAGTCTGAGTCTGCCTAAAGCCTGGAAACCAGAGGAAAGGCAATAAAAATAAACACAAAGCTTGCTTACATATTCACAGGAAGCTTTCCCTGACAGCCTGCCTTGGACACAAAGAAATCCAGTTCACAAAGGGGATGGAAAATATTGCATGGCTCTTAATTTGTTGGTGGCCCTGAAAGAGAAAATCTGCCACATGCCCTACAGTTTCTGCTAGCTGCTTACCATCCAGCATCTGGAGATACCGTTGCACAGAACTCCCCCCTCCCTTCAGCCTCCCACCCCTTATTACAGGCAGGCAGTAGCTTGAAATTCTCTGCTCAAACACAAGTGATCCATGCAGATGCATATCAGATGCAACTGCCCTGTGACTCACAGGCTAAGTAAGGATAGGGATTATGGGAGTTTAACTGAGGACAAAATGGGAGGGCTTTCCCTTGCCTACACCATTCTCTGAGAGGTGCTTAGAGATGGCCGCTACCTCCACACCCAGATTTCTAGGGGGTAAGAATATTGTTTAGCTGTGCACTGACTCACCCACAAAGATTATTGGTACTCTTTGAAAGGTAGTGCATGTTGTTTCTTGGCTATTTTTCTTTAGCTCTCTTGCCTCACTACAGTGTTTGAAAGGAGCAGCTGCTCCACCCTTTACCTGACACTTAGAGCCACATTTCTGAAAAGCATGGAGGCCAGGAGAGACGATAATAACACCACTTGGGATTTTTATCATGCCTTTCATTTGACAAGTCCAAAGGAGTTGATGGATAGTAACCCTTGGAGTCCCTATTAGGTCAGTCATATAGAGAGCATAAGGGTAGAATGGCAAAAGATAGCTGGACTGGTTAGCAAGTAATAAGGAGAACTGGGAACAGAGCCCAGCTGCTACTAATGATTATGAGTATTGTACTGTGCTCTATCCCTCCCCCACCTCCACCCCTCAAAGATGATGCCACTGATGGATGGAGGATAGATGTAACATGAATGATCCATCACCTATAATGTACACATCCAGGAATAATAGTCATGGGAGTGGTTATTACTTGGCTGTTTTGACTTCCTTCTGTGATGGGCTAAGCAGTCTTGTTCTCTGCATGTTGACCTGACAGTGATGCTAAGAGTTCTTTTACACAAAGAGCTTTGGTCTCCTCAAATTGTCCATGATTCATGAAGAATATTAAGAATCTCTTAGATTCATGGTCTGCTCATAGCACTTCAACCAAAAAGAACCACTCACCTGTGTTTGCTAATGGCAGGACCGTTTGCTTGCTGTTTCTCTTTCCCTCCCTTCAGTCTCTATTTCTCCCTGCCTCTGTCAGTCTCTGTCTCTGTCTCTCTGTCTCTGTTACTCTTTTTCTCTCTTTCTTTGTCTTTCTGTCTCTGTGCACATTTATGTTTGTCTGTCTCTGTGTCTCTCTCTGTCTGTCTGTCTTTGTAGAAGTTCAGAGTCATGCCAAATTGCTGCATGTTGTGCATCTATGGCAGCCTCCTTGAAATGTCATTCATTTGTCTTCTTTGTGATAATCATATTTCAGGCCAGCAGCCACTTCTAAACACACAACAAGAGATCCTTTAGTACTATCCACTACCTGTGGCCCTCCTGAGATTTTGTGAATAAAGATAAGGATAGGCATAGGAAGTAGACTTGTGACTTAACAGATGTAGGGAACTCCCAGATGAGGAAATTCCCTCTATCAATGAGACTATCACCTTTTCTGCAACCTATATCCTTAAAGATTTTTTGTTTCTGGGGCACAGGCACATAGTAGAATGAGGATTGAGAAAAGATCATTGGGTTTGCTAACTAAGGGATCATTAGTGGATTGGAGACAGCAGTTTTGATAGAATGATAAGGTCAAAAGTCAGATTATAAGGGGTTAAGAAGTGAGTGAGAAGAAAGAAAGTGGAGGTACCTGTCAGAGATAGCTTTTTTGAGAAGTTTGGCCACAAACAATGGAAGAGATATAGGATAATATTGGCAATGGAAGGATAAAGTAAGGGTTTTTTCAGGGTGGGGGAGACATAGACATATTTGTAAGCAGTAGGGAATGAGCCAGTATTCAGGAAGAGACTGAAAATAAGTAATAGAATGGGAATGATAGTGGGGGCAATATGTTGGAGAAGATAGGATTAAATGGGATTGTTTGAGCAGAGAGAGGGGTCAGCCTTGGTAAGGAATAAAATATTTCATCATGTGAGATAGGGGTGAAGGAAGAGATAGTGGCAGAAGACATCTGAATCATAAGAGATAAAGAGGGCAGAAGAAAGAGTTCATGGTGAATGGCTTCATTTTTTTTTTACTATAAAATATGAGGTAAGGTTCTTAGCCGAGAGGATAGGGGGAGGGAGAACCACGGGAGGCTTGAGGATAAATGAAAAGATTTGAAAGACCTGCTTTGGAAAGTGGGATAGTGAGTTGATAAGGCAAGTAAAGATGTATTACTTAGCAGCAGTGAGGACCCCGTTGAATTTGTGTAACATAAATCTGTAGTGGACCTCATCAGAATGACTGCATCATTTTTTCCACCCTCATTCAGAAGCACAAGTATAAGAACAAAGGTGTTGAATGTGAGAGTGATCTTAGGCTGAGGCATGGCAGGTCATAATTTGTGAAATGATAAGGGGGTTAGGAATTCAAGAGAGGAGGACAATTTAGAGTTGAATTGACTCATCAAGAAGTCAAGATGGAGGAAAGGGGAGAGAATGGCTAGGACAAGGGAGCTGACCTGGGAGAGAATCAAGGGGTCAAAGTTTGGGGGTCACAGTATAGATGAAAAGTAGAGTTTTGTAAGGGAAAGCATAGAGAGAAGTGAAAAGCCGATAGATTGTGGTCATATAAAGGATTTTCAGAATTTTTGAACATGAAGATGTTGTATATTGTGTGTGATGGGAAGAGCAAAAGTATGACTATCTTTATGTGTGACTGAGGTGGAGTAGAGGAATAGCTCATGGAAAGTGAGTAGATTGAGGATTAGGGTATTTGAGGGAGAATAAATATGTATATTGAAGTACCTGAGTATGAGGGCAAGAGTTGGGGAGGAAAGAAAAATTGTGAGTCATATACCAAACTCATTGAAGAAGGAAGGAGAGTGATCTGGGTAGGGGGTGAAGGGGAATCTTAGGCAATAGTTATCAGGATCTGGATTGGGTGGCAGGTATATACAACATGAACTTCAAAGGAGGAAAGGTTACTGAATGATAGACATAGAGGAGGAACTGGACTGTTAATGGCAAGGAAGGAGCATTCCAACTCTCTCACTTCAACCAGTGATCTGAGAAGAATGAGTACAAGTATAGCCATGGCTGGAAAGGGTGACCAGGGAGGCTGTGTCATATAGGAGGAACCAGGTTTTAGTTAAAGCTAATAGTGGAAAAATTGAGAAAGAAAAAGATTTAGAATGAAGGGCAGTTTGTCACCTATGGAACAGGCATTCCAGAGGGCACAGTGGAAGGGCTGGGTGGCACTTGGTTGGAACATTGGGTGGGAGGGTTGAGGGGGATGGGAATAAGGAAATGGGTAGTAGGGAGTGGGGAATGGGTTTAAGATGATTACCTACAAGGATTCAGAATCACTGGGGCTTAAGGGGTATGACCAGGCATAAGGATATTCATCATTCAGTGGAAGGCAAAATTCCTCTTCCCAAAGGAGTTTGGAGATCAGGCTGGAGGCAAGAGCAGCATGTTATAATCACAACCAATATTTTTATTGCACTTAAAATTTTTCTAATCACTTTCTTCATAACAACACAATAGAGTAAGTATTATTATCTCCAGTTTTTAGATAGGTAAACTGGGGCTCAGAGAGCTTAAATAATTTTCTCATTGTTACACAACTAGGAAGTGTCAGTCAGGATTTAAACCCTGTTTTCAGGACTCTAAGTCCAATCCTAGAAGCTGCCAAATCATGCCATTTCAATATTACCTTTGAAATATTACTCACATCTAACCCCTTCTTTCTACTCACACAGCTACCATCTTAGTTCAGTTCCTCATTAATCCTTACCCTTATTATTGCAACAATTTTTTAATCCATTTCCCTGCCTCCAGTCTCTCTCTAATTAATTTCATGTCCTTATATCAATGTACTTTTTTAACTTAATACCACAACCCTACATTGTCCAAAAGGACAAGGCTAGAATTCTTG